GACTGACTTAATTCCCTATCACCAGGTCACTTAATTGGTTGGCGGTCAAAAAGGATAACAATTTTTATTGTTCAATTTAATTAGGCATTGTCTAGAATAAAATAATTTTAATTTTCTCATAACACAATCTATCTCTTGGATAAAGGATAAAAGCTTATTTCAATGGGAAATCATGGCTTGAGTCACATCTTGAAAAACCCTAGCACTACAAGTCACTGAAATAAAACTTCTTTGTGTCGTCAAATGCAAAACCTGTTCTGATTTCTATAAGAACTGAGAGTGATATTAAATGTTTTTTAGCTATGTTGATTTTTGGAAAAGAGGTTAAGCTCATAGCTAGAGAGCGTAAAGAGGGCCTGGGAAAATTGAAAAATAGATTATGTTAATTGATTGTGGCTAAAGATGAAAGCTGTCTTTGGGATCTATTATTTCTTTAGGTTGCTGCAGAACCTTATAGCTTCAACAGGCACTGTAGCCACCATACAGCAAAAATGTAAGTTCTGCTGGTTTAAAAATAATTTCCAGGGAGTCACAGGGTGGGGGGCAATACCTGATGTGTTTACAGAAATGGAGCAGACTGAGAGCTTGTCCATACTGGTACAGAAGGGTGCCAACCTCAGCAGCAGTTTGCTTTTTTTCTTGTGCACACAGAAATCTCCTGAAGTTCAACTTGTAGCAATTTGGAAAAGGAAGGATTTTTGTACCCCCTGTCTGGCAAAAAAAATCTGCTGGTCATCTGACTTTTCCTGTGAGTATGTGTGTGATGACTAACAGGTCTAAAAGAGACAAAGTAGAGCAGGAGGCCACTGAAAGGGAATGTTTTTTTACTTTGAGAAGTTTACAAAATCAGTAATTGCTGGCAGGGGCTCAAAACTACGTGCCCAAGTCAAGAGATACAATGATTCTGCACTTGGCCAAAGTAGCTTTTTCCCAAAAGCTCTTCTGCAGCAATCAAAATATGGTGGAGTTGATGGGATGAAGTCTACCCAGCTCTCTCCCTTGTTGAAGGCTAGCATTTTCCCAGTTAATACACTGAAGTGATATCAGCATAGTACTTTTAAATTTTTTTCTTTTCAGAATCCTACTAAACCAGCAAAACGAAAGCGATCCAACTCACATAGGGCATGCTTGTTCTGGTATAAAACATCTTCTGTGGGTTAGTTTATGTTGTTTGGAAAGAGGTTTAAGTTGTACAGATAGCCACTGGAACTGGGGCATGAATCAGCTGTTAGATACTGTAACTACCACCCAGTTTCCCAAGATACTAAACTGAAGAAGCCTGGGACAACCAGGGTGTGGAGCCTTCCTCTTTTCTTCTCTTTTTTTCCCTTCCTGTTTCCTTTCAGTAACTCATGCAGATGTGCCTCCTTTGAAGCCAGAAGGCCACTTCTTCACTAGCCTTTGCTGGTACAATAACTGGAGCTGGCAAAATACACTGACACTGGCTCCATCTCTCTGTTCCTTTCCCCTCACAATTGTTACCTTGCAAATTGCTTGCCCATCCTACTACTTGATAAGCTCCTCAGGAAGTCACTGCAGTTGACAAACCCTGTGTATAAGTTTCTAGTATATGTCTAGATCTTCAGTGAGTTCATGCAACTCAAAATAGATCCACTAAAGTTAGTGGAGCTGCTCCAATTCACCCCAACTGTAGGTCTGATCCATCTTTTCTCATTTGGTTCTTTAACCAGCCCCTTTTTCTTGTTCCAACTTCTTTTCTCATCTACATTTACCAGTCTAGTATTTTGAATTTTTATGCAGTCTGGTTTCATTTACTGTGAAAAATGCATCGCTGGTATCAGGCACATCATTTTCTAAGCCTCCATCATGCCAAGAGAGTTAGTAAAACATCAGTTTTTCACTTCAGTTCCCAACCCATATGTTTTCAAGTAGCACTAGGGAAACATTTTTTAAAGGACAGACTCCCGAGATGTCTTCTAATATCATCAGCAGTGATAATCAAAAGCTGCTTCTGCAGAAGCCTGTGGGATTATCAGTCTCTCAAAAGGAAATTCAGCAGCTTTTCTTGCAGTAACGTTTATTCTCTACCCTTCCACCTCAAGCTATCGTTCACCTCAAGGTGGTGACACTCTGGACAATGCCATTTCCATATGCACTTCCTATTTAAGTGTCAGGAGGGACCCTTAATCCAGGGTCAGAACCCCTCCTGGCTTTCTAAGGAAGATGTGACTCAAATGCTAATGACAGTCCTTCATAGTTCATAGCTGATGCAAGGTATGCCTCATTTACAGTTGCAAAACACCTCTGAGGAAGTTGGGAAGTTGTATTATTTTTTTTCTTTCAAATTTAGACATAATTTCAGCTAGTCATGACATCAGTGTTAGGACTTAGACTCTTTCACGAAGGAATGCATTGCTAATTTCAAGCTGTTTGGGCTAAGTCTGATCAGGCCCAGAGGTAATATAGCCTGTTCCTGTCCTGTTCCTGGCAGCACAATGGATGTTTATAATTATCCACGTAATGATCATCATTTCTGCAAACCTTCCTGCTAGTGACCTCTTTGACAAGGAGAGTAACATAAAGCACAAAGGACAGGGATGCCCCTGTTAAAAAGTTCAACCAAATATTCTCCAGAATTGCTTTTTCACCAGCAATCTCATTGTGTTGCACTTTTTGCCATTTCTCATTATTTTTTTTCCTCTCCCTCCCAATTTGTCTCATCAAAATGTTCTACTTCCTTTTCTTCTTCCTCTTCTTCAGTTCCTCAATGTCTTCAGGACTTACCACCCCCATGTCCTTCCCCATGGGGTGGAAGCAGTTTGGCATTGCCTGGGCCATGAGGGTATATCTGGCTGTGGAGCCCAGCAGAGCCCCACTGACTCCTGGAAGAGGATGATGGGTCCTTTCCTGCAAATCTAGAGACAGTAGTCATCTGCCTTGGCTTGTGGCTACCTCTTCTCAGGTAAACCCCTGAGTAACGTACTGGCAAAGGAAAAAGTTCAACTCCATTGAATTTCTGTAGGGTCGAGAATATAAGCACTTGCTTAGTCATGAGGGCAGCAATATAGTAAAAAGCAACAGCAACCAACCTCTGCACACCCTGCCCCAGACAGCCTCACCTTCCCTAAACTTTTGGAAGAGGGCTTTGTGGTTGTCTTCAGCACCCCCCAAGAACCTGGGAGAATTGGAGGAGGAGGATGGGGCTGGGGGCTGCACAGGACTGTGACAGGGTGAGAGGCACATGCAGCACAGAAGTGGTTAAAGCAGGCTGACAGAGTCTGACCACAGCCCAGACTGTGACAAGAGAAATTGAAATGTAAGTCATAGAATCGTTTAGGTTGGAAAAGAACTTTAAGATCATCGAGTCCAACCATAAACCTAACACTGCCAAGTCCACCACTAAACCACGTCCCTAAGTGCCATATCTGCACATCTTTTAAATACCTCCAGGAGTGGTGACTCAACCACTTCCCTGGGCAGCCTGTTCTAATGCTTGACAACCCTTTCAGTCATTTTTCTAATATCCCATCTGAACCTCCCCTGGCACAACTCGAGGCCATTTCCTCTTGTCTTATAAGTTGTTACTTGGGAGAAGAGACTGACATCTACCTCACTACAACCTCCTTTCAGGTAGTTTCAGGTAGTTCAGGTCTCCCTGAGCCTCCTTTTCTCCGGGTTAAACAACCACAGTGCCCACAGCCACTCCTCATAGGACTTGTGCTTTAGACACTTCATGAGCTTCGTTGCCCATCACTAAATGTCTTTCTTATAGTGAGGAGCCCAAAACTGAACACAGTATTCGAGGTGTGGCCTCACCAGTGACGAGTACAGGGGTAAGATCACTTCCCTAGTCTGGCAGACCATTTCTGACACAGGCCAGGATGCCATTGGCCTTCTTGGCCACCTGGGCACACTGCCAGCTCATATTCAGCCAGCTGTCAATCAACCCCCCCAGGTCCCTCTCTGACTGGCAGCTCTCCAGCCACTCCTCCCCAAGCCTGTAGCGCTGCTGGGGGTTGTTGTGGCCCAAGTGCAGCCCCTGGCATTTGGCCTTATGGAAACTCCTCCAGTTGGCCTCAGCCCATGGCTCCAGCCTGTCCAGGTCTCTCTGCAGAGCCTCCCTACCCTCGAGCAGATCAGCACTCCCACCTAGCTTGGTGTCATCTACAAACTTACCTCATCTAGATCATTGATAAGGATATTAAACAGAACTGGTCCCAATACTGAGCCCTGGGGAACACCACTTGTGGCCAGCTGCTGTGTGGCTATAAATCCATTCACCACAGCTCTTTGGGCCCAGCCACCCAGCCAGTTTTTCACATGACGAAGGGTACACCTGTCCAAGTCACAAGCAACCAGTTTTGCCAGGAGAATGCTGCAGGAAATGGTGTCAAAGCCTTTACTAAAGTCTAGGTGGACAACATCCACAGCCTTTCGCTCATCCACTAGGCCAGTCACCTTGTCATAGGAGGAGATCAGGTTTGTCAAGCAGGACCTGCCTTTCATAAACCCATGATGACTGGGCCTGATCGCCTGGTTGCCCTGTATGTGCTGCATGATGGCACTCAAGATGATCTGCTCCATAACCTTCCCTGGCACCAAGGTCAGACTGAGAGGCCTATGGTTCCCCAGATCCTCCTTTCGGCCATTCTTGTAGACAAGCATCACATTTGCTAACTTCCAGTCAAATTCTGTATCCTGGCAGCAGCCTAATTTTCCTATGAATGATGCCTTGGGCAGAGTCTGTGTGGCCCAGAAAGGAGCAGGTTTTAAATTTTCTAGAATTCCCTAATCCGCTTTATCAGCTGCTTCTCCCTAAACCACTGCTGCTCCCTGAGAGATTTAAAGCCACAGTGGCTTCAAGGTCTCTTCCTGATTATTATGTTTATTCTTATCCAGTCAAGACAGAGAAACATTAGCATGTGATTTACAGCGTAGGACCAATCACAGATATCAGCCCTCAATATTTGAAATTCAAGCAGTATCTACTTGCAGCAAACTGGTCAAGATAAATCTAGATTTAAAAAGGAGGGCCCTACCTTTTTAGAAGGCAGTAGAGATTAATCGTCGAGGTCTGTCAGTCTTAGCCTGTCAAGCAAGATGCTGTGCATCTTTCCTAGGAAACAGTGCATGCAATGGCACTCACACAGTATTAATACATGCCCCTGTGCTGGGTTTAATTCCTTTCTTTTGTTTAGGTTTTTTTTTCTTGCAACCATCCTCTTTTCCTCTCATGTTTCAAGTCTTTGTATCTATCTGTCAAGCAGGTGGTGGATTCAGGGCAGGTTTTCATGCCAAGGCATTCCTTTACCTAATGAAAAGAAGTGAATAAAACATAAGAGAAATACCTTTAAATTAAAAATAGAGAAAAAAAAACCCCAAACCTGAAGATAACCAATATCTGAAGGAAAACATTTTTTTTCCTATAAAGTGCCTATTGAATGGATGAATTTCTATTTATTTCTTCTAATTTCAGTATGCACTTATAATTAGACCCTAATTAAATAAGGAAAAAAGACCATATGTGGCAGAAGAGGAATATATGCATATGTGAAGAGTCAAGACAATCCAGATAAACTTCTGATAGCATGACATATTCATGCAGAGTAGTCACTTTTCAAAACTAAAATTTTCTCCTAGAGGCCCCCAGTTTATATTATTAATGACAGCTTTCTCAGACTGCATTAACATTTCCATCTGAGGGGAAAAAGACAATGACTTTTCTCAAGTTTGAAAGTACAAAACGGCCTCAGAGCCACAAACATCAAGTGCTTTTGCACAAGCCTTTGAGTGGATTTCATCCACACAGTTTTGTAAATCGATGGTGAGCAGTGCTCCTGGCCTGAGACCCTGGGCTGGGGAGCTCAGAGATAAGATACAGATGGAGCTGAGGGGAATGCATGGAAAAGGTGCTTCACTACAGTACACCACAACGGCAGCCCCACACAACGGGGCCCCTTCCAGACTCTGGGACACCAGCCCCATTTCACAGTAGCTTTGGTGAAGTGAGTACATTTGGACCCTGATTTAAGTCATGGGTAACGCTGACTGCTAGGAGCTAATTTAAGTCTATACTGAAGAGTTGTTAGAAGCCGGGCCATTAGAGTAGTTTCAATCTGTTCCTCCAGGTTTCTGCTGGCTGCATGGAGCCTTGGATGCCATATCCTAAATGTCTGCCACTGACTAGCTGTCCCTCTTCTCTGTTTAACATGAATATCCTGTAATTGGAGTGTCAAGCTTCTTGCTGCCACCACGGAGGAGGAGGATACGGAGGAGGAACCAGAAGAAATCCGTCTTTGCCGTAATGAATGCATGCAGTTCAGACCAGATTGGGCTGTTCAGATGTTTTATTCCTCCCTTTCATCTCCTTTGTGGAGGCTCGAGCAGTACCAGAACACAGAGATCTCCTTTTAGGGCTTCAAACCCATCAAAGATCCGCCAGGTCCACTGTGCAGGGAGACAGACAGGGAAGCTTTTATAATGCATCTTTGTATTCTCTATGTTGCTGGTGCTTTTTGCACATATTGTGGACTGTCGGGGTAGGGGCACCTGGCAGAGGGTCCCCCTAGGTGGGGGCCAGGGAGCCAGTCCAGGCTGTCGTGCCACTTTGGTGAGGCAGGGTGCCCGGTAGTTCGCTCAGAAGGGGTGACAGCTGGTTTTACTGCAGTCTCTGGTGCCTGATTGTACAAGGTGGCACAAACTTAGATTCAGTGCCCCACAATGAGGCACAGAAAGCACAAGCAGATGTTTGCTGTGATGCTGTTAACTCATTTAAAGAGCTGTTTTTAGGGGCCTGGGCAGTAACTGCCACCGGCTGTACTCCATATGGCCTCTGACATTTCCCTGCTGTTTCATGGCTATAGATGAGATCTGTGGTACCCAAAGGCCCTGGGCTTTTTTGCCCCCAAGCTGCTGCTAGCAACAGTTAGGGTCCCTAAAGGAACAATAAGGGGGCTCTTAGTGTAGAAAAAAACCTACTCACAGCTATCTATGTTAGCTGTCTGAGGAGTGCAAGGTCTGGGTCAGAGCACTGCAGTAATGCGTCTGTCCCACTGCCACTACCCTGGTATCACTTTGGTGATGCACGCAGCTGTGCTGTGCTGGGCCCATACTGCCCTGGCCTGTGTTGGTGTCATTGTGCATACACACCTGCTTTGTTTTGTTTGCTAGTTGTCCGGATGGATGGAAATCAAAGTTTTCTTTATCACCTTGCTCCATTCACCTTAATCTAAAAAGGTACCAGCTACAGCTGTCTGTGCCTTGGCAAGCGAGCCTTACCACTCTTCCCACGGCAAATACCATCTACTCACTGACTAGCAACAGGAGATTTTAACATTGTTTTGTTGCCTTCCTTGGAAAGATCTGAAGGTGAATAAATCACATATGTGTCCCACTGCTAAAGCTACCGATCAGATGTGTAAAGATTGGACACTCACAGAGATATGGAGAAATCTGCATTTGTTTTCTAGGATCACGCTTTCTTTTTTCTTAAATGCAAGATTTACAATTCTTATCTGGGAACTCATATTAGTATCTAGTAATGTTGAAGTCAAAATTAACACTTGAAATGACCATCAAGTTAATGTTGACCTCTTTCCTAGTGTTGTTCTGATCAGGCCTTTAAAAATCAGTTAATATGCTCTCATCACTGCTTATATGGAGTGTCATACATCTATTTAGATAAATCTGACTTTTACAAAGAGCAAACTCAAGAAGAGTTTGTAGTTGCCTTGAAGAGATATTCCAGTCCTAGCTGAAAAAATACAGGAATCATTTGTAGTCAGAAATACAAGTTAAGATCAAAACATTTGATTTTTTTTTTTTATGCATAGTTAAATAAGATTTCCAGCAGGCTTGAATAAATCATCATTAAATCCACATTTCAACAAGGAATAGGCAAACTAGACTGGATAACTCTTACGCAGTCTGGAGTATTTTACATCTTCTATTAATCTATTCACTTTTTCACAATGTTGCCCAGAAAATGTTAGAATTCATGCATTGGGTCCAAAAATAGCTTAGGAAAGAGTAGTAAATAAAAAAGTACTTCTCAGGAAAGCAAGATTTTAAAAACACATTCCATAAAAATTATACTCTGTAGATGCTCCAGAACATATTAAGCTAGAGGTGTCTCAGTTAAAAATAAATCATCGAAAGAGATCTTTTATTTGCAACTTGGAGCCGGATTGGCTGTCTTTTTGCACTTAGCTAGTGTCGGTATGCATAAATTACATTGGGTATCAGTTAATTGCTGAAGGTTTGTACATGATCGTGTTGCAATTCAAGCTTCTATCCTATGGTAAGGAATTCCTTAAGTAAAGACCTAAGTGAAGATGTCTTTCTGGTTTCTGCATGAATCTGAATTGAAATAGATGTCACAGGCATTCCTGACCACAGCAAAACTCAGAAAATAACCATCAATAGCCTTGGCCAGCTGACATTATTTAAACTATGATTACCTCTCCAAAATTCACCCAGATTGTATTGGCAACCAGCATGAAGTATGAGCCCAGTCTGCCCAAAAGACTAATAATTTAGCCATGAAGATCAGCTTCATGTGACATGTTACCTGAGTCTGCCTTGGAGGTAAGAAAGAGCAGTAATTTCCACGGGGAGTGAGAGAATGAATAGAGCCCTGGAATGCAAGCCAAATTGCCTTTACATCTAGTTAACTACCAACATGCTAGTTATAAGATTGTAACAGCACTGAAAGTTCTTGTGTAGACTTGACTTCTTTATCCACAGGGAATACCAATGCTACACAGGTAATGAAAGACACCCGAGTCCTTTGCTGAAATGACAAAGGACTGGAGGGTGCTGTGGTGCCTTCTCATGTTTGCCTTGAGCTTTGCTATTTATCTCCACTTTTCCTGTCTCACGAGCATCCAAACTCTGCCTGTGCCACTGAAGGAGTGGGTTGTATTGAGCCATCACTGTGATCCATACGTGTGATTGAATCTTTGTGCCAGTGGGCAGGAGTTGTACCAATAGCCTTCTCAAGAGAAGTTGGGGCACACGCATGATAATAATGAGCATTTATTTCTATACCATTCTGCAAGATTCCCTTTACTGAAGTCCAACCACAACTTCATCCTCCCTCATGCATTCTTTCTCTCTTGCTCTCTCCCCATCCCTCTGCTTTTGGTTATTCAAACTCCTACAGATGACCAGAGATAAAACACAGGGTGCTTGCAGGATCTGATGGGTGATTGGTGAACCCCAAGCAAACACAATGTTTATTCAGAAATATTTCAGGCTGTTTTCAGGAGCCAAGAGCATACTGAGTTCTGATCATGCCTACATCTCTTAAAGGGGAGCACGCAATTCTCAGCAGTAACTTTTCATTTCAATGGCTACTGAAAGAAGTCTGTTTTGGGAATCGCCTTTCCTTATTTGTGTAAAAATCCTTTTATGCCATTAAGAAGCTGTGCGAAGAGAAACAAGATCTAGGGGCTTGTCGAAGCACAGTTTTCACTCCCCAGTAGAGTTAGTCTCATTAAAATGGACCTCGTCTCCTCGCTGCTCCTGCACATACTGTCAGTTTATCACAGATCATCTGACATCTCTAAAATGGAAAGCATGACGTAAAGCAGGAAAAAGAGCTCAAGATTGAAAAAAAACCTGAAACAAAAATTACAAAGACTTTGGAGAAATGGCTTGAAGGAAAAGATGCCTGTATACAAACTTGTCAAGTCTTCAGGGTGCCTATAGGCCAGCAGCAGGGAACAATAACCATTTAGGGCTGTGCACCACTCTCTGCCCTCGCACAGTTCTGTAAGGAGCGGTGCACACTCCTGGAGCCATGCACACAGGAATAACATTCTTAGGAAAGCCCTTTCCCAGAAAACCCTGCAGGGATACCTCCCTGCCTTTCTGCCCCCAGCGTAAAGATCTTGTGCAGATACAACTGGCAGGGATTGTCTGCCTGCCCTCCTGCCCAGACCCCGTGCCAACACAAGGCAGCCAGTTTGGGTCTTTCAGGCAGTTCTCAAAGGTGGTGGGCCTGAATGTTGGTTTACCCTTGAGTTTTGGGCTGGGAGCTAGGAAACAGCAGAAGCACCTGGATGAAAGAAGACAGAAAAGCCCTCTGAGACCTCCTCCAGGTCAGCAAAGAGTGCAAATCCTGTGCTCTGCCTGACAAAAGCCAACAACCGGAAAATTAGCAGGGGACAAAGGGGACACTGAGGAACTCCCAGGACACAGAGTGGTGAGGCTGCAGGAAGCACAGGGGTCAAGGGCGGTTGGAAGGAACCACCATGCCTGCTGGTGAAATAAAATCTCCTTTGCCTCTCACATGGGCTGGGGTG